GAACTGCGCAGCTACCTTGGCTTGCATATCACTCGGGACAGAGCACGCCGCACCATCACCTTGACTCAGTCACACATGGTGCAGCAGGTCCTTCAGCGCTTTGGCTTCACGTACTCCTCGCCTCAGGCCACTCCTCTGTCTACTCGCCACTCGCTCTCAGTTCTGCCTTCGGATGAGTACGTAGAGTCGAGTGGCCCGTACCCAGAGCTTGTTGGCTGCCTCATGTACCTGATGACCTGCACTCGACCTGACCTTGCATACCCTCTGAGCATTCTTGCACGCTATGTTGCTCCTGGGAGACACCGACCAGAGCACATGGCTGCAGCGAAGAGGGTATTGCGCTACCTGTGCAGTACGTCGGGCATGGGGCTAGTGCTTGGAGGGCGGAGTCCAGTGGTCCTTACAGGCCACGCGGACGCTTCTTGGGCTGACGACCAGGCTACGCAGCGGTCGTCACAGGGTTACACCTTCAGTCTTGGTTCCGGCTCTGTCTCGTGGCGGTCTACTCGTTCGTCCTCAGTTCTCGGCTCCAGTTGTGAGGCTGAGATCTACGCCGGGGCCATGGCTGCACAGGAGCTTCGCTGGCTCACCTACGCCGACTGACCTTGGAGAGCCGCCTCGTTCTCCTCCAGTGCTGTACGTAGACAACAAGGCCATGCTGGCCTTGTGTCGAGAGCAGCGCTTGGAGCACAGAACGAAGCACATTGCTCTCCGCTACTTCCTTGCTCGTGAGCTGCAGCAGCGTGGTCAGTTGCGACTTGCGTACGTGGCCTCTGAGGCCAACACTGCTGATGTGTTCACCAAGGCACTCGCGCCTTGTGACCATCAGCGCTTCTGCACCCAGCTGGGTCTGTGCCTGTCTTGCCTCACTTGCTCTCTTCTTGACTTTACTTGTACTGTGACATATATATACCTGCTCCTGCTTGTCTAGTTTTATATATATGTCTGTACTCCTGCATGTGAACTGGCCTCTGGCCCTGCTCTTGTGCTCGGACTGTGTGGTGACTTTGTGATCCACCCTGAGCTTGCTTTGCTTTGCTTGACTGGTCTTGTGACCCCTTGTTCTCCCCCACTTTGCCTATGGGGGTGTGTCAGATTATTATAGCTGATGCATGTTTGTAGGCTATAGTGGGGTAGCACATATGGGGTACAGCTTTCTAGGGTTGTATTTGTACCCAACTCTGACTTAGTCATTCTCATTCCTGGTCATTTATCTCACAGGGGAGACTCCATCCATTTGACGTCGGAGTCGATCGACGAGTTACGATTCTGGCAGACACAGTTCAACGTTTTCAATGGTTCCTGCTTCCACAACCCAAATGTGTACGACATCGTCATGTACGTCAATGCAAGCGACCATGCTTGGGGAAGCTGTTACTCCACGCCAGATGGCCGTGTCGGCTCGCAATCCTTCCGATTTCCCCAGTCACTATCAGTGGCATCAAGCACGCTTCGCGAACTCGCCGGGATTCTCTGGGCACTGTCGACCTTTAGCTGCGAGATCCAATGCTCGCACGTCCTACTTCAAAGCGACAGTCAAGCGGCCTACTATATTCTAAAAAAGGGCGGTTCTCGCCAAGCCAACCTCACTCTCATCTGCCGCGCCATGATTACACTTTGTGTGCATCACGATTTGATTAACGGCGCAATGGATCCCCCGCAAACTCAATACCAAAGCCGACGCCCTTTCAAAGATTGACCTACACGACGATTACTCTCTCGCACGAACGTGGTTCCTTTTACTCGAGCGCCTCTGAGGCCCACATTCAATTGACCTATTTTCCTCGTCCTCCAACGCACAATTATGTCGGTTTTGCTCCCTAGACTATCATCCGCATGCGGTCGCCCAAGACGCGTTCTCTCTTAGTTGGAACGGTGAAAATTGCTACGCCTTCCCACCGCCGTCCTTGATCCCCGCCGTCCTCGCCCACGCGCGTCGATCTCGTACTACAATAACTCTCGTTATCCCGGAATGGCCTAGCGCCTTCTGGTGGCCACTACTTTGCCCAGACGGCACTACGTGGGCGCATGATATACGGGCGAGCATATATCTCGCTCACGTTCCAACATGTCTACGTGTTGGTAGTGATACGCTGGCTTTTAGTGGTGCCGGTATCCCCCATTCGCATATGTATGCTCTTCGTTTGATATATACTAATCCATAGCCTTGTAAACATGCATGTTCATGTATTGGACGTTTGATGGGGGACCTCTTAACGCTTACTGTCGATTTGCGCCTGTCGTGAAACAAACACAATAGGTAGTTAGGAATAGTTCGGCCTAGGCTTAGTAGCCTAGGCCAAGGAGGATCGAGTTGGTTGTGCCAAGGGTGTCGAGAGAATTTCGGGAAAAGTGTTGGGTTCACTATAGGTTTGCAATCACATATATGCAAGTGAACAAAGGTGCACCACCTGACACAGTTTGTAATAACTACACTAACTACAGCTACAGGCAGTTACAAATATAAACTCTGACAGCGCCCCCAATCCACGATCCGCACATACGAACCCTACTGGCGTCAGTATCGCACATTCTGTCAAGAGCATTCGTTGTCGTTTCTCCCTGCCACGGACCTAACATCCGTGCTATTCTTACTGCACTCAGTACGCAGGGGTGCGACGGTCTCCGCCGTGCGATCTGCCTGCTCTGCAATTTCTTGCGCCCATCTCCTATTCGAGGACCGCTCTCCTCACAAGTAAAGGAGTACGCGAAACGACACTGCGGCAAACCTTCCGTGCCAAAGGAACCCATACCCCCTACTAAGATTTATGACATTTGCGATATCTACTTCTCGTCGACGGATCCTGCCATCTTCCAGCGCGGTCTCATCCCTCTTCTTATGTTTGCATCTTTCCTGCGCTTCTCTGACCTCGTTGCCCTTCAATGGCACCAAATCGAGTTCGACCGCGACTGCATGTGGCTGTTTATCCCCCGCTCAAAAACGGACGAGGCCGGCACAGGCGCCTAGGTCCCAGTCGCCGCCTCTTCTGCCCGCCACTGCCCTGTCACTCGCGTATGGCAATTTCTCTTCCTCGCTGGCTTCTCTGCGCAAACCTTAGGCCCCCTTATTCGGGTGTTTCCGCCTGCTGAGCGGGCTTCGCCATCCGATCGATCCCCATCCTACGCCACGGTCCGAGGCTGGTGTCGCGAGGCATTTTGTCGTGTTGGCCTCAACCCGAATCTGCTCGGCACGCATTCCTTTCACAAGTCTGCCGCCACCGTGGCTGTCGATGCTGGCGTGCCTGATCACCTCTTCAAGGCCCTCGGCCGGTGGCGTAGCGACAAGGCTTGGGAGTTGTACGTCACCCAGTTGGACCGCGAGTTGGTGACGGCATCGCGTACCCTTCAGGATCCGACGAGACCTAACTCTACCTACCGTTACGCATCCACTCTCGCACGCCATCGTCATCCCCCGCCTATTTGATGTCTCGTTTACCTATGACGACTGCACTGCACACTCCTCGGAGAGTCGTGTCACAATATGTAAAATTTTTTATGTTAAACTTCTAAAAATTTGAAGACTGTGATTCGACTAGAAGAGGAGTTTGCTGTAAAGGGGACAAACTCCTTTTCATTCCAACAGGTCTCTCAGACCTGCCACCTAGTCTCATTTGCATTTTCAGATCTCCAATTTGCTTCCCTCCCACCCAATCCCCTTTTTGTAGTTACATAGAGTTTTTGATACCCTATTTGAATACTAATCGTTATTGCTCATTTGAGTGTGCTGTACAAATGGGATTTGTATGCTCCGCGGAGAGTCGTGTCACAATACTAAGGCACAAGCGAAGCAAAGCATATCGAGGTACCAGCGAGTCAACCCTCGGAGGTTGAAGTAACCGCTGGAGGTTACGCGAAAGTCAAAGGTCAGCGGCCTTTGACCTGACAAATACAGCGCGACACCAAGGACACACAACTGACTCGTTATAGAGCAGTTGCCCGAGTCGTCACTGTATCGAACCGCAACAAGTAAGACAGTTATAACCGTATCCTTTCATATTCATTGTACTCTTATATAGTATTGTATCTCTTTGTTTTAATCAACTTACTTTGCCCTCACATACTAGCGCAAGGTGGTTCACAGCTCTTTATCAAACGCTTCCGCTACTTCACCAACTCTACCCAAAGTTCACCCCTAAAAAGATCCTAAGGGCCTTTTCAGCCCAACAGAACCTTTCTAAAAGTTCGAACTTTGGGAAGTTCGAAAAAAGATCACACGCGCCATTACACTCTGACCCATTTGTGGAACCATAGTGTTGGCTGATAGAAAGGGCGGTTGCAACAATGATTGATTTCAATGCGATACAACAGTTTCATCAGTGGTGTGGTGAATTACAGTAGCAAAGAGACCAAATGTCATTGCCAAAGAAGCTTCTCTAAAGAGCAAAAATCCTATGACGAACCCTAGACGCTACCAGCACACATGGTTGGAGAACATACACTGACCCACTGTCACATGTTTGCTTTGTAGCTGCTCTTCACATGGCGAACACAAGGAGCGGGAGTGCAAGAGCAGCAGCCGCAGCAGCAGAGAGGCTGAAGGCAGCAGCAGAAGGCACGGAAAGGCCAGATGCAGGCTTGGGAGGAGAGGGGGCAGGTGGAGACAGGGTGGGGGCAGGAGGAGGCTGGGTGGGGGCAGATGGCACAGGGGACGCTGGTGCTCCTTCAGGTGCTGGGGCTTCTGTGGTTGCTGACACTGGGGTGTGGGGCAAGGGTTCAGGCCAAAAAGGTGGGGCATGTAAGCTGATAGCAAGTGGGACATGTTTGCATGCTGGTGCAGGAGGGGTAGGTGAGGCTCAAGTCTTGGTAAGCAGTCAAAGGATGCATGCACACATACTGGTGCTCACGCAGCCATGCACAATGCAAGTTGCCACACAGCACACCCCATGCTTGCCTGCACACCCCATGCTTGCCTGCACACCCCATGCTTGACTGCAAACAACATCCTTGTGAGAATTCTCAAAAGCCACAGCACCCATACACAGCAAGGCACGGGCACGTACGCTTGAGGGGCGTGCAGGAGGAGCAGAAGGAGTAGCAGAGCTGGCAGAAGGTAGAGGTGTTCTGCTGCTGCACCACACACTTGCTGCCGTCTGCTTGGCAGGTCAGACCCGAGGCCGTCGTATTGCTGGAGGTGGGGAGGGGGGTGGAAGGGAGGGGGTGGGTAGGAGTGGGGGCAGTGGAAATATGGGAGCTTGAGTGCATACAAGAGGTGCATGGTTGCATGGGCACATGGGCGCATGGGTGCATGACTGCATGGGTGCATGGGTGCATGAGTGCATGGGTGCAAGGGTGCAAGGGAACAAAGGTGCATGGGAGCATGGGTGCATGAGTGCATAGGTGCATGGGTGCAAAGGTGCAAGGGTACAAAGGTGCATCGATCCACGGGAGCATGGGTGCATGGTTGCATAGTTGCATCGATCCATGGGCACATGGGTGCAAGGGTGCATGGTTGCATGGGTGCATCAGTCCATGGGCGCATGGGTGCAAGGGTGCATGGGCGCATGGGTGCATCAGTCCATGGGCGCATGGGTGCATCGATCCATGGGTGCATGGGTGCAAGGGTGAGTACTCACAAGGACCACAGGTTGGCAAGGCTGCCCACGCTGGCAGGAATGGGGCCGGACAACTGGTTCTCATTGACATTCCTGCCATGTATGCCATGCCACGGGACAGAACGAGCACAAACAGCACAGAGAGGCGGAAGCGAGAGCATCGATTCAGTGGACATGCAGCAAGTCTGCTTCGTGGTGATCCACTTGTTGCATGCACCACAGGGCTGTGCATGGCGTACAGTGCATGGCGTACAGTGCATGGCGTACAGTGCATGGCGTACAGTGCATGGCGTACAGTGCATGGCGTACAGTGCATGTTGTACAGTGCATGGTGTACAGTGCATGGTGTACAGTGCATGGTGTAGAGTGCATGGCATATAGTGCTGAGCATGGCTTACAGCAGCTGCAGAGAGGACATGCGGGAATAGGAGGTAGGAAGGGCGCCCGTGAACTGATTGCTGCCGTAGTCCCTGCAGATGGACGGGAGGGGAAAGGCGTGGGGAGGGAGAGTCGGGTAGAGAGAGAGGGAACAGGAGGAGAGATAGGGGACGAGAGAGAGAAAGGGAGTGAAAGGGGTGGGGAGGGGGGGGTGAAGGGGCGTAGGAAAGAAGATTGGGGGAGGTGAGCCATGAAGATCAAGTGATGAGGGCAGTCCTCTCCAGGCATCGGGCATCGGGCATCGGGCATCGGGCATCGGGCATCAGGCATCGGGCATCAGGCATCGAGCATCGGGCATCGGGCATCGGGCATCAGGCATCGGGCATCGGGCATCGAGCATCGGGCATCGGGCATCGAGCATCGGGCATCGGGCATCCGGCATCGGGCATCGGGCATCGGGCATCGGGCATCGGGCATCAGGCATCGGGCATCAGGCATCGGGCATCGGGCATCGGGCATTGGGCATCGGGCATCGGGCATCGGGCATCAGGCATCGAGCATCGGGCAATGATTGACCTGTGTAGCCATGCAATCCCACTGCTGAAAAAAACTGGAGCTCTTTGAAGCACTCTGGTTACCTTGTCGCAACACAAAGGGTTGCGCAGCAAGCAGTGTGGAATGAAGGCGTGTGGAACAAAGGGGTGCGGAAAGAAAGGGGAATGGAACGAAAGGGGAACGGAACGAAAGGTGAATGGAACAAAAGGGGAACGGAATGAAAGGGGACTGGAACAAAAGGGAATGGAACGGAAGGTTGTGGAGCAAGCGATGTGGAAGGAAGAGGGGCGGATGACATGACACTGTAGCTCCCAACTGCATGCGCTAGTACAGTTGTGTTGTGTGGACGTGGAAGGGAGGAAGCAGCTTACAGCTCAGCAAGCTTGTCATAAGAGCGAACGTCTGGGAGAGTGCCAGTGAAAGCATTGCTGTGAAGATCCCTGCTCAGGCATGCCGGGGAGGGATGAGCAGGCATGGGGCTGGCTGTGGTGATGTGGGGAAACTCAGGTATGGGGTAAGTGCTACTGAGTAATGCATGCACGGTGGTGTAAAGCGATGCAAGAACGAGAGCAAGCAGTCTCTGTGGAGCAAGTGATAACCCCAAAATGAATCACAGGGAGCAGGCAAGGGCGTGGTGCGTGGGTGTGCAGAGAGTAGGTGGGATCAGAGGTGTGCAGTGCTGCTTAGGGCAGACTTTCGAGTCGACTCAATATTCAACTCATTTGAACCGACTCAAAAGTCAACTCTTTAGAGTCGACTCAAAAGTCACCTCTTTTGAGTCGACTCAAGAGCAGGTGGGATCAAAGGTGTGCACCGCTGAAGTGCTGCTTAGGGCAGAACGAAAACAAAGGAAACAAAAATCTACTGCGGGAGGAAGGAGTGGGTAGTGTGTAGGGTGGCCTGGGCATGAGCGCACTGACAGCGTTGACAGGTAGAGCAGGTTGGAGATGGCAGAAGGGATAGCTCCTGTGAAGGCATTGCGGGACATGTTGCTGGGGGGAGAAGAGGGCAAGGGTCCATGGGGGGGGGGGGATTACACATGTTTGGTTGGTTGAGGGGTTGGAAAATGGAGGGGATGAAGATTTGAGAGGGAAGTTGAGGTTGTGTGGGGAGTTGGAAATTGTTGCAGCGATGGTTGATGTGCTGTGGGTGGGGTTGCCGTGCTGTTGGTGGGGTTGACGTGCACATGGCAGTCACTTGTGAGAAATCTCAAAAGTGGCTGACATACACATGTATTTTGAAGGATGCAGGAAACTAGCACGAAGCAAGTATGCAAAGAGGAGAGGAAACGGAAGGAACCACCACCATCATGCATCGGGTGACTTTTGAGTCGACTCAAATGTCGCCTTATTTAAGGGAGGACCTTAACTTGCTGATCTCCCAGCCTCTCGTCTTGCAGACGGCTTTTGAGTCGACTCAAAAGTGATCTCAAGAAAACGGAAGGAACCATCATCATGCAACGAGTCATCGGGGAATCGGCACAAGACGACTTATACAAACTGGAAGAACAAAACAAAAACAGGGCAAAAGGAATGTTATGCAAACACCAGCATTACACAAACTCGCCCTGACGTGCTTTTCTCACAAAATCTGCACTGCAGTCAGTCAGTCGCAAATTCGAGAAGATCTTGTGACTCCTGAGTCGCAAATTTGCAAATCACCTCGCTTCTGAGGCAAGATGACTCGCGATGGACACAGGAGAGCAAGTTGAGCACAAAAATCACCTCGTTTCTCCATATTGATGTCGTGTGGAGCGAACTTGGGTGAGTAAACAAAAGCTTGCCGCCATGTACTCTGAGAGCGAGAGCTTCTTTTACTCGCATGGAGTGTTACTCGTCCAGCCTCGTTACTGAAACGAGGCAATGCGAAACTCGAGGCGAGTATTACTCGCCACAGCCATTGCTCATACATCCCGAGCAATGACAAGGTAAAAGACGAGCCGCATGAGAAGAAGAGACGAGCGTTCAGAATCCCCGATTGTGCTTATACATACATACATACATATATGTATATATATACCAAAACAAAAAGAACCTGGCATGATGCACTGTCGATAGTGTCAGGTGGCGGTGCGGAGCGATTGGTCTCACATGTGAGTAACGCTTGTACGGAGCGCGACTGCCGGGAAGGTTCCCGTGAAGCGGTTGTTGGATATGTCCCTGCAGTGAGGCAGACGAGGGGGAGGCGAAGGGGGAGAATGCGGCGCGGAGAGAGGGTGAGAGGAGGGAAGGGCTTGTTTGGAAGGAGGGCAGGAGCAGGGGGGTGAAAGAGCATGAAAGGAACAGAACATTGAAAGCATCGTTCAAGATGCAGCTCCGTTGGCGACACTCACAGGGTATCCATGCTTTTTAACGCCTTCAATTCAGGAAAGGGGCCCGAGAAATTGCACGAACCGATAATGCTGCATTCCAGATGTGTGCCGCAGGAACGTGGGGCGAGGAGGCGAGGGAGAGTGAAGAGAGAGTGGATTGAGGAAGATGAGATGATAACGGATGAGATGATAACGGATGAGATGATAACGGATGAGATGATAACGGATGAGATGATAACGGATGAGATGATAACGGATGAGATGATAACGGATGAGATGATAACGGATGAGATGATAACGGATGAGATGATAACGGATGAGATGATAACAGATGAGATGATAACAGATGAGATGATAACAGATGAGATGAACATGAAGAAGATGTTCCCCCTTCGGGCGAGGGAGGAACTTGAGGAGAGGAATCACACATGGCATGAACTCGTATGCGACTGGGATCTCCTTCTTGACATGGCATGAGTGGAACCTAGCGACATCCTAAACAGGATAAGTGCAACCTGCGACAAGCAACATCTTAAACAACATCCTTCTTGTTGCAGGCGTCTCTGTTGAGTCTTATAGAATCGTTGGCCGCGAGTGGAGGCACATGGGGGACCCGGGCCTTAATCCACGCAGCTCAATCTGTTTCGATTTCCTGGGAGGTCTAGAGGACATTGCATTACAATCTCTGTGAATCAAATACAGACATGGCATCTAGGGAACAGAATGAGCAGAGACGGCAGCACATGGTATGCAGCGCTGCATCTTTACATTACTCACAGGTAAAAGATCTCCTTCATGTTTGAAAGTGCCTCCAAGCCTCCTGAAAGAGGGTTCTCCTTGATATTGCTGATAAACCAGGAAATGGCCGGGTGCAGAGGGCGTCAGAGGGAGTGGGAAGGCATTGGAGGGCATGGGAGGGCATGTGAGGGCATGGGAGGGCATGGGAGGGCATAGGGGGGCATGGGTGGGCATGGGTGGGCATGAGAGAGCATGGGGGGGCATGTGAGGGCATGGAAGGGTATGGGGGGGCATGGGAGGGCATGTGGGGGCATTGGAGGGCATGGGAAGGGCCTGGGGAGGGCATTGCTCCTGCCATGAGGGCTTGACAGCGGTGATGTGGGCGCAGCAGGGAAATGGCTTGAATGCACAAAGAAAGTGCTTTACGCACAACAAAAACTGCAAGCTGCCTGATTGGTTGACGGAGGGACAGCTAATCCAGACGGGTGATTTGTCGGTGGGATTGGTGGGTTGGGTTGCATTGTGGTGGCAAATAAACACATGAACAGACAGACAGGCTACAGAACAGAAAGCAGGCAACGGCAGCTTTGGAGGCGAGTGGAAACTTGAAAAGAAGCATACAGGACAGCGAGAGATGACAAAGCGGTGAAGGACGGGGGGATGGAGCCGGACAAGTTGTTGGTGGCAAGCCGTCTGTCACGCGTGGAGAGGAAGGGTGGAGGGGGGAACGGAAGAGAGGGTGGGGGAGAAGCTTCCTAATTTTTGCGTGTATGCATGCATTTTGTCTAGAGTCTCGACTCGCTGCATTTTCCTATCTTCCTGTTTCCTTCCAAGTTCCAGTCTAGCTCCGATCAAGGATTGTTTCATAACATCTGCCTAAAGCTGCCCATCATGTTTTTTGTCAACCCAAGCCTCGAGGGCAGGGCGGTGCAGGAAGGCTGTAGAGGATTCCTGTTTTTGTACAGGCTGTACTGTAGAAGCATCATCGTGTATTTTTTTTAGCTAGGGTGATTACAGACAGCACATAGACGAGCGCAGCAACGATGCTTGTAGAGGTTAGGCTGCCGTCATTGGGAAGCTAGTCATCCTCAAGACGAGCACATCACGACTACTCGTTGTGACCTGACCTCAGTTGCCATACGTTAGTGTGCTTTACAAAAGCGTTTTGTCAACTCGTTGCAAATAGACGAGCATGCGGCAGAGAAGCAGGCTAAGAGGGGTGCAGGGTGGTTGAACGCGACAACCCAGGATTGAAAGCGGCGAGACTCACAGATAGTACAAGGACTTGAGGGTGGAAAGTGTGTCGGGTATGCTTCCTGAAATGTAGTAGTTGTAACCCAATGACCTGCGGCAGGAGAGGGATGTGATGTGAGGGATGTGAGGGATGTGAGGGACGGAGATGTGGGAGGAGTAATGAGTGACATGAGATTGAACCATTGAAAAGATGGAGACGACGCGAGGAATGCACATACAGATGCTTCAGGCAGGAGAGGGTGCTTGGGGTGACTGTTCAGTTTACTCAAAAAGTGTCTTTGGAAGAAAAAAAAGAAGGCGAAAAAGCTCCTGCATGAGAAATGAGCTTCGAAGAGTTGAGGAGAGGGTGCTTGGGTTGCTTGCACGTACAGATGCGTGAGGCTGGAGAGGGCGGAGATGGTGCTAGGAATGGAGCCCGTGAACCCATTGCCATCCGCGTACCTGCACTCACTCGTGGTTTAACAAGCACAGAATGCGCGCGGCTTGCAGTTCATTCTAGAAGGAGTACGAAGCGGAGAAGCAATCATAGGCAAATGGGAAGCACATCAGATTGAAAGCACATGGGAAGGACATGGTCGGAAGTACGCATCTAGTCAAGCCTCCTTGCAGTGGAGTGGCAGTGTCCTTTTGCCACGCTGCCACTGTACAAGCCCCAGCTGCGAGTGGGCATGCATGAGAGGAGAGGGCAGCAGCAGCAGCAGCAGCAGCAGCAGCAGCTAGAAAGGAAGGAAGGAAGGGCTGACAGGTTCTGCAGCTTTTTTAGGGCCGTCCACTCCGTGGGGAAGGGTGCGGTACGCATGCGCTGGCCCGTGATGCCAGACACATCTCTGCCAGCACGGAAGGGTGAGGGTGGGTAGGATAAGGTGGAGAGGGGTGGCAGCACCGTATGGAACGGTGTGGAGGGGGGGCAGCCAGGCAGCAAGACTGCAGGAGCACCGTGGGTGCAGCTCAGCATAACAGAGCAGAGCACAGCACAGCACTGCACAGGCACCTCGACGTGCGTTGCTGGCAAGGGGTGGTTGAAATGGGAAGGAATGGCATGCGTGTGGCACATACAAGTATTCGAGGCTGGAGAGGGAGCTGATCCATGCGGGCAATCGGGTGAAGTTCAGAAACTCCAGATTGCTGCACGTGGTGAGGGGAAGGGGAGTACGGACGGAGAGAAGGAGGGAGGGACAATTGGGGACCTCTTGAAGGTTAGAAACTTCTCAACATCCTTTACAAACGATGGATGCCATCTCGTGCTGGTGCTGCTGCAGCTTGAACGCCCATGGTTCGTGGCATTGCCAATGGCGCATGGGTGGTGCTTGAGGCTTGGGATGGATGGTGCCAATGACACCCTCACCTCCCACCTCTGCCCCTTCCACCACAGACCAGCAGAGTGCAACCAGCTGTAGTAGCCCCGGGCTTACAGGTATGCGAGCTTAGGGGTTTACAGGTATGCGAGCTTAGGGGTTTACAGGTATGCGAGCTCAGGGGTTTACAGGTACGCGAGCTTAGGGGTTTACAGGTATGCGAGCTTAGGGGTTTACAGGTATGCGAGCTTAGGGGTTTACAGGTATGTGAGCTTAGGGGTTTACAGGTATGTGAGCTTAGGGGTTTACAGGTATGTGAGCTTAGGGGTTTACAGGTATGTGAGCTTGGTTGCGCTGCCGATGGAAACAGGCAGCTCGCCACTCAGCTTGGTGCCGCTCAAGTCCCTGCCATGCCATCCCATTCCATGCCATTGCGCAGCAGCGACATGGTGAATGATTGAATGGAGGGAAGTTGAAGGCGGTAAGCACGTCACGCCATGCCATGCCACGCAATGCCATGCCACGCCATGCCATGCCACGCCACGCCATGCCACGCCATGCCATGCCATGCCACGCCACGCCATGCCATGCCATGCCATGCCACGCCATGCCACGCCACGCCACGCCACGCCATGCCATGCCATGCCAGACCACACCACGCCACGCCACGCCACGCCACACCACGCCACGCCACGCCACGCCACACCACGCCACGCCACGCCACACCATGCCATGCCATGCCATGCATTGCCATGCCATTCCTTTCCATGACATGCCATTCCTTTCCATGCCATGCCATGCCACGCCACGCCACGCCACGCCATGCCATGCCATGCCATTGCGCAGCAGCGACATGGGATGGGAGATGAGGGGAGTTGACGCCGGTAAGCATACTGACATGCGCAAACACGTGTGGAGAGCGAAGCTTTGTACGAGAAAACACGCCACAAGTGGTTTCTGCGTTGGCGGTCACGCTGGCGCCATGACTACGCTCTACGCTTAAGCTTTTTGAAAGAATACTACGGTGTTTAGTACGTTCTGAGGGGCAGCGATGGATGGAGGGCGGCATGGCACGCACAGGTGCTGCATGGAGGCGGGCAGAGAGGCCATGAAGTCGAAGCTGCCAGTCAAGTTGCTCTCTGCAACGTCACTGCAGACCGTTGAGATGGACGGCACACGCAGGGATAGTACGCGGGACTCCCAGAGGTGGGGGGAGAGGGGAGAGGTCACGTCATAAGGCAGGCAGGGTCACACGACGACTTGTCGGACAAGGAAGGGCGCAACGTGTAACACGGAAGGCGGCGGCGCAACAAGCGCAAGTTGGCGCACGAGTGCTGAGCTGTGCTTCACAATCAGAAAATGGGAAGGTGGTAGGTGGTACCATAGCCCTATACTAGGGCTCACTCACAGTTCTTGGAGCGAGGTAAGGTTGGAGATAGCAGGGTCCATGGCGCCAGCATTGATGGATTTCCCGCACGTCCTGAGAGCACGCAACGCAACGCAACGCAACGTAATGCGCGCAAAACGGCGAGGCGAGGGCGTCAGGTGTGGAACGGACGTAAAGAACGGAGAAACAACAAACATACGAACCTGACTGCGCGTGGTCCGCATTGGGGCGCATTGCGCTCGCGGGTTGGGGGCACTTCATCCCAACATTGTTTGGCCCTCGTACTATGTTACATATAGGTTCGTTGCGCCTACTATGCTATATCGAGTAAATACAATGTTGCAGAGCCTACATGAACACAGTACGAGCCCCTCCCGCTTTTGTGAAGCAACCCCCACGGCAGGTAGATACCCCCTCCGGGTGCATCTTTCGCGGGGAGGGGATGCCTCACAAGTTGGTGACCATGCCGAGCGAGTCGCACTGGACGAAGTTCCATTGCCAGCAATACTCGGCCGACTCGTCCAGCCGCCACACCCCCCATGCCGCGTCCAGCGCCAGCAGCGCTTGCACTGCCGCCCACGCCGTGCCGCCCAGGGGAAGGAAATGGACAGACTAGTAATCGCGGTGGCGGAGCGGCGACCAGTATGGTAGTACGCCGCGTGGCACCAGGTAGCAAATAAACGGCGACCTTTTGGGTCGACTCAAAAGCAGGTAGTAAATAGACGGCGACCGGCGCCGCGATGAAGGAGCGCGAAGGCGAAAAAAATGTTCCCAAACATGTCGTCGGCTCAAGGAGCTTATAAAGGGTACAGGGTGCTCACATTGGGAAGGTGCGAGCTTCGTCGCTGCGGCTAACGCGGCTGTCCCACTCAGCTGACGAGCGACGGACGCGCGACGCTCCTCGGCGAACGAAGCTGCGTATGATTCATGCGATCTATGCGACACGTGCGACGCGGCACGTGAACGGGAGGCCGTGGCCTCCAAACCAGCGGCACCATGCACGGCGGTGGCGGGCGCGAGGAGCAAGACGAGCAGCGGCGCGCAGCGACGGAACAGGTCGAGCGCCGCAGGCAGACTCCGCGGGGCCATGACGAGCTGCGACGGAAAGCTTATCGCATGAAAGAGCTTATCGCACGAAAGAGCTTATCGCACAAAAAAACCTTATCGCACGAAAGAGCTTATCGCACGAAAGAGCTTATTGCAACGGGCAATGCTTCAGTGTTGGTCCCAGGCGGCCTCGGTGAGAGAAAGCTCAGGCGCAGTGTTGGGAGTGCGAGCAGTGCATGCCTTCGTGTGCGTGTGTGATGGATGTGTGTGTGTGCCTCGCGGGTGACGCTACTGGTACAGTAATTTCCTGACCAGCGACCAATGGATGAAGTCGTGGTCGCACACGAGCCGAGCATGAGGCGCGAGATATCGCGATGAGCTGGCTGCGGATAATGCTTGTTTAGGGCGCTTCACCTGTCGGTTCGAACAACACACTCGTTCGAACAGGCGAATTGTTACTCGTTTCGTCTATGTTCGTAGTGGTGATCGTGACGTCGCGAAGCACAATTTCGCCAATTTGAACAGAGCTGTCACCTCAAGCACGATTTTCATCATCCCGCACGTTCGAACACGTTTGTTCGAACAGGTTGGGATAGGTGACACACAATTCCGCACAAACGACTGATATGATTGGTCCACAGTCTTCCGGGTCGCCCATGAACGTTTGCGACCCAAGCGAGGAAACACACAAGCGAGGGACCCAATGTTTGGCGACGTCGCTCTTTTGTGGGCGACGTCGCTGTGTTCGAACAGACCGCGTGTGCGAATAGCGATGGCGTCACCTGTGATGGCCTGTGTCACATTCGCTCATTGTACGTATTTGTGTTAGAACTCATTTGGGATACTGTTCGTACAGTCAAACTGATACGTCGGTTCGGATTTTGGCCTTCCGCCCCTCAGGTGAAGCGCCCTTACTGTTGTCTGTTCTACGTGGGTGGGAGATGTCACGGTTGGCAGCACAATGCGACGGATATCACAGGCTAGCGCAGCGCAGACATCTCACGACACGAGGAAGTAGGCGCAAACGAACAAAAAGAAGCCCACTATTCAGCCCAGCTTCTTTGAGGTGTGGGGTTGAATAGTAGGCCCACAGGCGAACAATGCCCAGCTTCTTTGGGGGTGACTTCAGGTTGTACAAAACTCACACGTTTACAGTTCTTATATGACGGTTTCACACGGTGTAAATCGGTTTTCAGGGAATAACGCTTGCACCGTGACGAAACAAAGTTGACCGTAGAGAGTGTACAAAAAGTTGCACAACACCATTTGGGGTGACCAGGGTCCTTATTGAGCAGTTAGTTCGCGAGCGCTCCCCAGAGTTTGCCACAGGCAGAATGGGAAGAATGGGGGAGTGAGGTAGATAGGACAAATCGATGGACTGAGGAAGAGATTGGGGGAGGGGGAGGCCATGGCTGCGTTGTGCGGGCGCATTAGACCGCATCAAAGGCGGTTTTCGCCAGCACATCTAAAAAAAAAGGGCCTCGGAATGGCCGTGGAATCCCGAACCAGGGTAGAGCCTCCCCAAAAGGTGCGGGGGGAATGCCCAAATCGCGAAATTTCGCGCCAGAAAGGGGAAGGGTGGTAACGGGATCAGGAGCCACCCTCCCCACCTTCCAATTCCCCGTTCCCCCCCTCCACTTCCTTCCAATCCCATCGCCATCCCAAGGCAATTCTGCTTGGGGGGGTGAATGGCGATGGAATGGCAACGGGACCAGTGTTTGCCTGTAGAGGAAGCTCCCGGCCCACTTTCCTACCTTACGAATCCATTAGAAATAAATGATAAGGAGGAGTTCCACAGGCCAACATGATTCCGTTTGGTTCGGACAGAATCATAGGCTCGGCAAGAATTTCGCGGGCTGACCTGCTTGACGGACCCTAACGAACCCTAACGGACGAGATTAGGAAGCCGATACTAACCTTCATGATCCCGTTATTTTGTTGTTAAAAGTGTTGGCGAACAACACCAATGTACATTGCAAATTGTTTTCGATTTTCCAGGAGCCTTCCTTGAAAATCAGGCGAAAGGTTATCAAGGTTCGCAATAAGCGTTTTTTTGCCGAAGCAGACCGAGCCCAAATGCCTGTCGAACGGTCTTTATGGCAACCACAAATTTACATGCTGCCGCTTTTCGAGAAATTTATCGTCCAAGCAATCTGACGAACCCTTAATGCTCACATTATGCAACGCCAAGAAGACGCATGATTCGCGCATCAGCTCGAATGGGGCAACCGAACAATGCCCTAAAAAAAATAAGCCGAATCATTGATGGCTGTCAGAATATTATCTTATTGTTCTAGCATGTAGTGGGGTGCTCTATAGCGAGTACAACCCTTCTAGGGTTTGCTATTTGTATCCCCATTTCTGCTAGTTCAATCCTCTTTTCTTCTTCTAACTTTTGTCATGCTATCAGAGCAGGTCGATCCCCTTGGATCGATCCTGTGGGTGGGTTTCCACCTCGCTTCCGCTGCTACCTTTCCTTCCCGCCGTGCGCCCCGAGGCGTGCGGCGGTTTTCCTTCCCGCCGTGCGCCCCGGGGCGCGCGGCGGTTCTTTGCCCGCTGTGCGCCCCGAGGCGCGCGGCGGGTGTCTGCCCTACCTTCGCGGGCGTCCGCCCTACGTCGCGGCCCCGCCCTGCGTCGCGGCCCCGCCCCTCGAAGCGGCCCTGCCCTACGTCGCGGCCCCGCCCCGACCGTCGCGGCCCCGCCCTACGTCGCGGCCCCGCCCTGTGTCGCGGCCCCGCCCCTCGAAGCGGCCCTGCCCGACCGTCGCGGCCCCGCCCCTCGTCGCGGCCCCGCCCCTCGTCGCGGCCCCGCCCCTCGTCGCGGCCCCGCCCCTCGTCGCGGCCCCGCCCCTTGTCGCGGCCCCGCCCTCCAACCAGGCCCGTGGTGGGCCCCTTTTACCACACCGCCCCCCCCCCCCCCCCCCCCCCCCTTCCCCCTGCCATTTCCCGTCGTCCGTCGAGGCGACCTGAGGGGCGAGCTCTGGGGTGGCGGGTATGGGGGTGCTCGGTGTGCCTTCCTCCCTTTGCTCCTCCTCCTCCTTCGTCTCCCACTGCTGCAGCTGTCGCTGAGGGGGGTGGTTGTGTGGGAGACTGGGGTTTAGGGGTTAAGGGGGGTGCGTGGGAGTAGAGCTAGCGGTGTAGCAGTGGGTGTGTATCAGGTGGGTGGGACTGTGTGCGGGAGGATGTGCGGAGGTTGCCAGTTTGTCGTCAGCAGCACCTGTAGTCCGGAGCGCTGTCCCGGTAGCCCAGTGAGCTAGACTTCTACGCCAGCCGCCTGTGGGTCCGTTGCCCGTCCGCCGCTATTTGAGCCGCGGGGCCTGTTACTCCTGTAGTCCGGGCGCTGTCCGGTAGCCGCTGTGCCAGTCTGCCTCCTGCTGCCCGTGTGTCTGCAGCTTCAGCCGTCGCCTCCTATCTCCTCTCCCCTCACTCTCCCTCCTCCTCCTCACTTGCCCGTTGTGACTGTGAAACAAGTGAACAGGAATGACTAAGGAAAGATTGGGTACAAATACAACCCTAGAAACCCTGTACCCCATATGTGCTACCCCACTATAGCCTACAGCAACTATGTCATATAAATCTGACACACCCCCATAGGCAAAGTGGGGGAGAACAAGGGGTCACAAGACCAGTCAAGTAAAGCAAAGCAGAGCAAGCTCAGGGTGGATCACAACGTCACCACACAGTCCGAGCACAAGAGCAGGGCCAGTGGCCAGTTCACATGCAGGAGTACAGACATATATATATAAAACTAGACAAGCAAGAGCAGGTATATATATGTCACAGTACAAGTAAAGTCAAGAGGAGAGCAAGTGAGGCAAGACAGGCACAAGACCCAGCTGGGTGCAAAAGCGCTGATGGTCACAAGGCGCGAGTGCCTTGGTGAACACATCAGCAGTGTTGGCCTCAAAGGCCACGTACGCAAGCCGCAACTGTCCACGCTGCTGCAGCTCACGAGCAAGGAAGTAGCGAAGAGCAATGTGCTTCGTTCTGTGCTCCAGACGCTGCTCTCGACACAAGGCCAGCATGGCCTTGTTGTCTACGTACAGCACTGGAGGAGAACGAGGCGGCTCTCCAAGGTCAGTCAGCAGGTAGGTGAGCCAGCGAAGCTCCTGTGCAGCCATGGCCCCTGCGTAGATCTCAGCCTCACAACTGGAGCTGAGACCCGAAGACGAGCAAGTAGCCCGCCACGAGACAGAGCCGGAACCAAGACTGAAGGTGTAACCCTGTGACGACCGCTGCGTAGCCTGGTCGTCAGCCCAAGAAGCGTCCGCGTGCCCTGTAAGGACCACTAGACTCCGCCCTCCAAGCACTAGCCCCATGCCCGACGTACTGCACAGGTAGCGCAACACCCTCTTCGCTGCAGCCATGTGCTCTGGTCGGTGTCTCCCACGAGCAACATAGCGTGCAAGAATGCTCAGAGGGTATGCAAGGTCAGGTCGTGTGCAGGTCATCAAGTACATGAGGCAGCCAACAAGCTCTGGGTACGGGCCACTCGACTCTACGGACTCATCCGAAGGCAGTGTTGAGAGCGAGTGGCCAGTAGACAGAGGAGTGGCCTGAGGCGAGGAGTACGTGAAGCCGAAGCGCTGAAGGACCTGCTGCACCATGTGTGACTGAGTCAAGGTAATGGTGCGGCGTGCTCTGTCCCGAGTGATCTGCAAGCCAAGGTAGCTGCGCAGTTCACCCAGGTCTGTGCACGTGTGTCTCTTCAGCAGCTCGGACTTCACGTAGGCGAGTCCAGCAGTGTCCGCTGTGGCAAAGACCAAGTCGTCGACGTACACGAGGATGTAGAACGGCGGCAGAGAAGTGTCGGTGCGCAGAAACAGCGACGGGTCAGCAGTAGAAGGAGCAAACCCAAGAGCCGCAAGCGTAGTCCTCAGTGTGTCGTGCCACTCACGCGGTGCCTGGCGGAGACCGTAGACTGGCCGACGGAGGCTCCACTGGGTGCCAGGAGGGAAAGTCCCAGTGAAGCCAGGTGGACGGCGCAGCCAGATCTCCTCATGCAGGCTACCCTGTAGGAACGCAGTGCTGAAGTCGAGAGAG